AAATTACTAACTAAAACTGTAACTAAAAGTTAACTTTGAATTAGTATACAAATGCCTAGCACTAAGACTGGATTTTATTTAAAAAAGGCACGTATGTAGTACGCCGAGCTGCTAAAACTACAATACGTCTGCAGATATCAAGAGGGCTAAACCTCTGGCCTTGAAGGCAACCAGCAACAGAGTGAAAACTCGTAAAACTACAGTGGCAAGCGGCTTGCTTCCTATAGCCCCTTCTCTCTCTCTCTTGGCAAAAAGCCACAACGTAAGTACTTGGCGTTAGCAAGACAATTTGCATAAATAAGTTAAAGCATTTAATTCTGGCCGGAAGTAGAAAATAAGAAGTGATAGTACAGTTTTAAAAATAAAATAAACGTTAGTAAAACTTAGGATCCTTACAACTTTGCTTATGTTAGATACGAAATTCTTAGAAGTAAAGTGAGATTATACAGTTTATTACCCTAAATATGGAAATAATTTTACTTTTTCTTATAATTACTTTAGGATATTATTTTATATTGTATACACATTGCATTTATTTATTTATTTATTATTTTATTTTCATACAAGCCAGTTAAAACGTGTTAAAGTAGAACTGAATTGAATTCAATATAGTATTTATCTGAAACTATATATTTCGAATGAAAGCGGTAAGAGCATAAGTGTGTAAATGAATAAGACAGATAAATATTATTAGTTTAGGCTTAGCGAAAGAATAACGATTTTTAGAGAGAAATTGTAAATATGAATTCGATCTTTATTAAGAGATTAATTTTAAGGACTCATATGTTCCCTAATGGGTCAAAGTATTATTTTTAAATGTCTGCAGTCTTGATTAGGATAAGTTAGGTCATTTGTATATGACAAAAACATAAGGGCTCTTTGTCCTAAGGGAAGAGATGTCTTCGTGGAGGATTTTCTTAAGGGAAACTGAGTATAATATTTCTAAGAGGAAACTGAGTTCAAGTGTAACATTTTGTTTTCATGTTATTTATGGACGAAAGTCGCAAACATATCCATGTAGCCAGCTAGCATGAACCAGCTTCTCCTTGTTTCGAACCTGCCTCAGAATACTAGTATTAAACGACTTTAACCATTCAGTCATTTAAGGGGCTGTTTATGGTTTTGAACAGCATTTTAGTTCTTGCGAAAATTACTCAATAATTGTTTATTCATTAACTTAATAGCGCTATTGTAATTAAACAGTTTTGAATATTTATAAATGTACAAACAATGTTAAAACAAATTTTAAACACCTGCTCAAGCTGTTCTTGTCTGCATATACACTTTCAAAAAGGTGTCTTGTTTCAGAATGGTTTATGCTTTGTTATGTTTACAGAAAATATTCCAGTATATTAGTCATTTAATTTTGTTTTCATTTTTTAACGAAATAAATACTAAAATATAGTTGTTTGAGTATATATATTTTTTTCACTTTTGATACATAGTATTTAACTCATTAAACGTATATTATTAGTAAAACACCATAACTTAAGTTTAATATAATTTATGTAACATAATGATATTATGATACAGTTTCATGAAGATATCTTGAAAAGGTTTTGAAATATCCTGCGCTAAATATGAAATAAAAATGCTGAGATAAAAGCGCGTAAGTTTTTTCTCCCCATAAAATTCACAATCATTATGATTTTAGGAAATTAATTCATATAAATTTTGAACCTATGTTGTAGTGTAATCATTTCCTTGTATCTTCCGAAGTGAAGTTTCTGAAACACAAAACATATTTATAAACAGGATAAAGTTTCTTGAACAGAACAGGTGAGTGTCCCGCATCTCCCTAGATTTTTATTTTATCTTAATGAGCTTTAATCATATGAACTTACCTTTCCTGTGACTTTTTAAATTTCTGTTTGTAATGATATTTCCTAAAAAATACGGAGTATTTTTACCCTTTTTTTAAAAGATTGCTCTAACTGCCACACCTTTTATTTAAATCAGTTTTTTTAAGATTTATCGGTCATGGGATTTATTAAGATAAGGCCTCAGTTAAAGTGTATTTATACAAAAAAATTTGAGTAAAGTTAATAAGAACTGCGTATGACATGAAAGTAGAAACAAGATGATTTAGGGAAAAAACCTTTTCTCTTAGGAGCATTAGCGGAGAAAGATGGTGGTCTTTATTTTCGAAGGAAGAAATATGAATGATATCAGAAGCTAACGTGGGGGAAACACATAATGGTCTTAAAGACAGATATAGATAGAACAAGGTACTGGGGGTAAAAGCAGATTTCGTGGCAAATTAATTTTTGTACCTACCTACACCTTGCCGATTAACACACATCTGGAGCGTTTTAATGAAACTGTTTTGAAATTTGTTTTGTCTGATAATGCAACACAAAGTCTGCCTTTTTAATACCATGTTATTTTTAGTAGAGCTAATACAGCCATTTCTCAGTTAAGGAAAGGATAAAATTATGCTCTGAAAAGGCTTAGCTTGTTTTTTGGACAGACGCAATTATTGTAGCAATAAACGTGTTTGTTGTTAAACATGGAAAAGTTACTCTTATAGACCATTAGCACAAAATGAAATTGTCGACGGAAAAATGCAAAATGTAATTAAAATTTCGAGGGATAGCTCCAGTAATAACAAATTATATCACAGTATTTGGAAATTGCTTTTATTTAAGAAAGTATTTACTTTAATTGTGCAGAATCTTGACTACATAAACACTTAATTACAAAAAACAAAAAGGTTCTAACCTACATTTATACTCGGGTTAGAACTCAATAGCAAGACTTAAATTGTTTCGAAAGTATCGTTCTATAATTCTGTTTATAATTTATGTTCTTCGTTCGTAACGCAATTAATTCTTCAGTTGTTTATAGTTTCTTATTTTTGTTTTAAAACTTAATTCATTTGAAAATAGATTGTTTACAGTATGCTTTTATTTCAGAAAGTATTTACTTTAATTGTGCAGAATTTTGACTACATAAACACTTAACTACAAAAAACAAAAAGTTTCTAACCTACTTTTATACTCGGGTTAGAACTCAATAGCAAGACTTAAATTGTTCCGAAAGTATCGTTCTATAATTACGTTTATAATTTATGTTCTTCGTTCGTAACGCAATTTATTCTTCAGTTGTTTATAGTTTCTTATTTTTGTTCTAAAACTTAATTCATTTGAAAATAGATTATTTACAGTATTTTTCTGTTTGTAGAGACTTTTAAGACTTTTTGGTTATCAGGAAAGTAAAGAAATTCGCAGATCAATTGCTAACCGAGTGTGCTATCTAGTTACACCACGAAAGTACGCAGGAGGATGGAGAAAATACCATATATACTTCCACTTTTAAAGGGAGACTGCGGCTGAGGACTGCTTTAAAAAAATACCTAATGTCGCTACAGTGGCGCCCGAACAAAAAAGGTGGTTGGACGATGAATCTCCACCACCAGAATTTGCCGATTGATCCCTTTTTCCCCAATCACCCTTTAAGAGGGGGAGTATATAAGGTATTTCTCCCGCTTTCTTAGCATGCCTTCGTGTGTACAGATCAACACGCTCGACACGTATTCGAGAGGTCCGTGGTTCGATTCCCGGCTAGGGCATTACTCATTTTTCATGTCTCCTGCTCTCAAAAAATACCTAATGTCTCTATAAAACTTCTCGCAAAAATGCATCCCATCCTTCATGCAGATAGCATGTTTCGCCATATTCAACTAACACAAAAAATACATGTGTTTTACTCTGTATATTTTTTATGTATTATTTATTATTATTATTATGTAATTTTTATTGTTTTATGGGAAGGAAATTAGTTTTCTATTTAAGCAAAAATTTCAAAATATAGCATGTTGCCTTGTTTAATATCATTTCCTAAACGCTGTCTTTTATATTTTATTTATTTATTTATTTTTGACATGCCGAATAGTTGTGGTAATCCTGCATTGAGCGAATTAGTATTAACCTCTTTTGTAGTTGCAACCGCTTGCGTAGCGGTAATTCTTGCCATATGCTTCAAACGCATTCATTAACATAATGAATTACATCGAATAATAATCACAGGATAGCTCTTAAGTGCTTTGCGAAGCTTGTGTGATTTAATTCTTATCACAAGATACCGTTATTTAATTTTGCGATTTGTTAAAACTTTCCATCTCAGTAATATCTCTTTATCAAACTATTAGAATATTTATATAAGTTTCCTACATTTTGACAATATAAAACATAGTCGCAGAATTTCATAATTTTTCACTTTTATTGTATGTAAGTCTGAACTTTCCTCGAGGAAAATGAAGTGCTAGATATTATTGGAAATCAAAGTTACACTACATAAATGCAGGCTAAAACCTAAATCTTTTCCGACAAGTATGAGTTATGAAATCAATCGTAAATGATCTTACAAATGATGATAAAGCGAAAAGGTCTGTATATGTTACTTTTAGGGCATGTGTTGTACTTTTAATTTTGTGTAAATTTACATATATAGTGCTACAGAAAAATGGTAACTTTTCTGTACTTTTAGAAACTCAGAATTTCAAGTAAATCGTTATGTTGCGATAGTCACTTTTTTACAGTAAACTGGTAAAAAAATGTTATATGTCTGAAGTTAAGCAGATAATTCTTTACAGGCAGACATCTATTATTAATTCCCTCTCATGGGTATTATAACTCATGCGAAAAGCTGCAAAACAATTTTTTACAATACCTTTTTTTTAGATTTAACCTTGAGTACCTTGAGTAGCATTCTTTAATGCTCAAAAAAATGCTGAGACAGTTTTCATGCATATTAATTTTGTTGTATGAATCTTTTCAATTAGAACTGAAAATTGTATGACATTATTATATTAATTGTTTCTTAGGATTATGGTGAATATTCACTTCAAGAGAAAAAAGCCTCGAAATTTTTTTGTAAAATTATAACTTTCATAATTCGTGAAAGACTGTTTTTCGAACTTCTTCTAGTTTTGAAGTTCACTGGTAAACAAATTTTTTGCTAAATAACAATCGAAGTAGGTTTAAATGAGCAAAGATGTAATGGTATTCAAAAATGAAATAATGTCTGTAACTTTTGTTAAACCACCGACTCTTGTTTTGGGTTTTCAGAAAATTCTTGCAAGTAAATAAATTAAGAAGGTAGCACTTTTTTGTTTCGATACGGGTGGGAAATTTCACTATAGTTTTTAACTCTCAGATCTCAAAGAAAAATAATATTCTTACAATTTTAATTACCCTTTTTCTGCTTTCAGATTCAAAACTAAAGTGACATCCGAAAAGAAGCATGGGAATGAAGATAAAGTTATCGGCTTTAAGCTAGTTTGGACAGCCGTTGCTTTTGAATTCAACGGTCAGTATTTTGATTTAGTACGTATATATAAATCTGGTAACTTTTTAATGTTGCTTTCTGCCCTCAGTTATTACCACTCTGATTAATATCAAAGAACAAATTCGAATAAAAGTGTGTAAAGCTAGGATGATGTCCAGTCGTTTCAACTGAAAAGCGACATTTTCATCTCTGTTCTTTACAGGTTTTGTTTATTGAATTTATATTATAATTTGCCGGATATTTTCCTCTTGATCACGGTGGCTACTTAAACGATGAATGAAAATAAGAAAAGAATCTAGCTCTGTTTCTCCTTTATCTGTAGTCTTAGACTACTTTATCAACGTATATTTGATTGTTATTGCTTAATTTGCATCGCCAGGAGAGATAGTTTCTCTGTAATACACGTCATTTCTTTTATATTTTAAGTTCAAGATTAAATAAAAGTTTATTTAAAGACGTTTTCTTAATATTTCAGACGTAGCGATGACTCGCTCACTTGCCTGGTAGGATCTGCAACTTATAATTCTGGATCAATAGCAGTCCTGCAATTACATTAAAAAAATCAAAATTCGATATACCGTTAAAGTCTTATCGATACAGTGGAATGGATACAGCTTCACTGTCTAAATTATCTTGTATACATGTTTTTCTTCTTCCGTTGAACTGCTTGACTAAAGCACGTACAATTAACTATGAATCTAGTTTGACCGTTAACAGTACTGAAATTTCCCTGTGTTAGCATAAGATCACTATGTTTCTGCCATCAACTTGTGCGAATTTTCTGTGGGGAAAATGGTTCCAATGTGTCTGTCTGTCATCTAGCCAGTATACTGCACTGGCATCGAGATGACGGCGTAGTAGATAGCGACTAGCATACTCCGTCGCAGTTCTTAAAGCATTGTTATTACATTGTCCAAAAGGAAAACTAAGTGTGACAACACTTACAAACGGAGTACATTTTCACCATGCAAAAAACTGCAGTTAATTCGGTAATTTTTCAGATGGCGCCTTTTTTCTAGTCAAACGAAGGTGTTCAGTTTTATACACCAATCGTAAATAACTTATTATGCGAATGTTAATAATAATGGATAATAATGGATTAAATAGTGTTTATTTTATTGTTTATCGAATTCATTTTTATGCTTCCAACAAATTTTACTTTCTGTGGATAAGATGTGATATCATATTTTTTCTTAAATATTTTCTTCGAAAACTATCAGTAGAAGAGACGTGAATCATTGTAAATTTATTATGTATTAGGATCTTGTCCTATGCTGTTAAGGCTACATTGATAGGACACCCTATGTAAACAAATGTTTGGCTGAAGTTTCGAAAACTGACTTTTGTTTTAAGAATTTATCAAGCATATTGGCCTGTCTACTTAAATAAGTATAAATGAAACTACAAGTCCATACCTTTCTTCGTCTAGATTAATATTGAAGTTAAAAGTGTCTAATCATTTAACTATGTTGATACCATTTTTGTATTTTCGGCAGGTAAATGTGAACAACATGTCTGCCGAGAAAGCCACTACTGCCTGAATACAGCCGCAACTGTGTGTAGTACTATGCCTCAGTATTGTGTTCATAAATCTTTGGTTTGTGACGGTTTACCCAACTGCAGTGAAGATGACTACAGCGATGAAGAGAAATGTAAGTATTATGATTATTTTGGACTATTATAATGCGAGTGTTCTCAACTAGATCAAAACACCGCATAATAGAGTATATCCTCAGGATACCCTCTTTCAGTCGCAAAGTCCTAAGACATTGATAATTCTTAAATTCTCTTAATTCTTAGATGCCCTTATGAATTTGAACCTTAATATATCCTAATGATGTCTTCTTAAGTCGCTGTATCTCGATATACTTGAAGATGTTCTAAAGTTGTTGACTTTCAGATGTATCGAGGACTTCGTCATTTAATATCCTGAGGATATTCCAACTGCATCTTCCGAAGGTTTCCGTCTTCAAATATTCTGAAGATGTTTATTTTGAGCTATTCTATAGGTTTAGGCTCTATAAATCTGTTGAAGTTTGTCTTTGGAATATACAGGGCTATGACATTTACTGGAATAACTTGGGATATATATATATATATATATATATATGGAAATATGTTTCAGCGTAATCTCTGGGAATGCTCTGAGGACAAGGTACGTTATAAATCCTGAAAACACCCTGTACTCTATCCAGAAGATTTAGCGATAATGTCTTAAAGATATACTATTATGTGATTTTAAACGCGCGGGAAGATGTATTTCGAAAGCTAGAGGAATATTCCGAAATGTCTTTAGAATGTGCTCAGAAGTTTTTTATGATGAGTGCAAAGGAGAATTTCATGGTTTCGGAGAAAGGAATTAGACCTCAGGTTGGCATGGTTAATTCGTAACAAATGTTTTACAGCATAAATCGGTGAAGACGGGATTGAAATCATATGACTTAGAACAACCAAGAAACGTTAAACATCGGCAGCATGTAAACGCAGAGAAAAATAATAAAAAAAATAATAAAATATTTCTTTATTTATATTTAATATATATATATAGATGTAATATATATTATAACAATTAACTAATTAATAAATGTATAAAATATACATTTTTTTATTAAGTTTAATTTAAAAAAATAATTAATTAATTAATTAATTAAATTTATATATATATATATATATATCTGTCTAAAATCGAAAAGTTAACATTTCTCAGTTTTCCATTTTTCAAACTTTATTCGTGGGAACCATTTAAATAAAAGAATCGAGAGAAGACGAGGGCAATGATCTCGAGGCGAGGCGATGAAGCATCTCTAGCTTATTGCGATAACAATGTGACAATCTTCTAATAAAATGTGAAAATGAAGCGCTTTCGTAAATATATTGTCGGTGTAAATGACGGAGTGTGTAATGTCGGTGTAAATGACGGTGTATTAAACTTTTAAGATGTTTTCTTCCTATCTCAGTTTTCAAACAGTATTCAAACTGAAAACATCATATGCACCAAATTTTGAACACTCTACTCAAAACTGTTTACGTTTTCAAGATTGTCGCAGATTTCAGGACTGATCTGTGAATGTATAGAAATGTGTACAATTAGTTTAAGAACTGAGTAAATCATTGGTTACGTAATTAGCCAATTATTGCTCTGAATGTCTTAAACTATAATATGCTAACTAATATTTTCTGTAGAAAATGAAATATTAATGTGAGTGAAATAAAGGGAATTCCAAAACGTTAAACTTATTTTTAGAGTTTAAGTTGTAAATATGAATCCAACATGAAAATAATGACTAAATAAAGAACCTTTGATTATAGCATTTCGTGATTTCAGTCAGATATGGCTTGGAATGTGGAATTCAGGAACATTATAGGGAACCTTTCATTTGAGTTTTTGTGGTTTGTTATTGATTTAGGAAACACAATTCTCATTACATTTCTCTTTCAATATTACAACTGGAGATATTCTTTAAAAAATGACTGGGTCAAAGTATTAAATTTTAACCTTACATAACAACAGTTTTCTTTTCGAACTTACGAAACTAGTTAACACTGATATAAATTAAAAAGTTAAGCTTTTTATAAATCTTTACTTGGAATATAAAATTTAATTTCTAATTAAATATATACTTTTTCTCGAAATCCGTATGATACAGAAATAAACATTCTACATCGATCACAGCTGAAGGAATTATTTTTTTTTCTCCTTTGAATTTAAAATTTATTTTCAATGATATTTAAATTACTTGCTTGATCTAGGCTAAACAATAACAGGCTTCTGTTTAATGGACTTTGTAATTATGTTATATTCAAAGAATACTATTATGTTTTAAAGCTATTAGCTAAAGGTTTTTATTTAAGCGAAATAAAAATACTTAAGATTAGGTTTCAGTGCCAAAGTGTTCTTTACAACCAGAAGTAGAAAACTGCATCTAGTCAATAGATGTAAAATGATAAATCCAGATAGACTGCATTTATTCATGTTTGCTGCAGATTTAATTGGAATCAATCCAATAAATATCCTAGGTAAGAATATAATGGAGAACACAAGCAAATTGTATGTTTCCTCTTTTTCCTCACAAGAAGATAATTATTTCGATGGTCTCTGTATTGTCCAACATGACGCATAATTGCTTTAGATTGCATTCATTTGAATTTGCGTCATCTTGCGATTATGAACCGGAAAAATCTGTAACTGGGCTTTTGTTCACCTGATTTACAAAACAAATCTCATCTCTGTAGAATTCAGAAATTTCCTCTGCAGGTTCCTCTTCTCTAGATTTTTATTTTCGGTTATTCCTAACTTGGAAATTCTTAATGTTAATTAGGTTCTCTGGAGTGGGAGATAAGCATTCGTGCTAACTCATGTGAAGTATAATAATTATTCTCCAACGAACAATATCCTTTAGGAAGTGGTTTCATGAGACTCGTAACAATTTTGGATAAAATGGAAATTTCTCGTATTTTTCATCGTGTTTCTTTCTCTTGAATAAACTTCTAGATAATATATGTGCATGTAGCTGTCAAATCACGAAAAATAATGCAAAACTGGTGTTCGGTCTAATATTCTGACTCTTCTACTAGTAGTTGTTTACTTCTATTCACTTGTTTAAAAACGTCTTGCATCCATGCAAAACTGTGCTGTGTTGAAGTGATTATCTTCTAGATTTCACACTAGCTACCATAAAATAGGCTGCTTTCATAATTAAGTTACTCTCCACTCTTCCTGCGATATAATCTCCATTCTTGACAAAGTGTTAGAATTTTCGAAATATGCACAGAGATGAGATTCTACAGAGATGAGATTCTACAGAGATGAGATTTGTTTTGTAAATCAGGTGAACAAAAGCCCAGTTACAGATTTTTCCGGTTCATAATCGCAACAACAAAAGAAAATGTTCTCCACAAGTGAGGTATCGTGCTAATAAAAAGAAGATGCGAATCTAAGTGAAGAATTTTCCGTAGATGGCACATTTTTGAAGTGAACTCGCTTGGAGAAGGAGCCTCTTGATCCTAGCAAGGATGTCGGAGAATTGATCAATCTGTTAGTGTAGGCATCTAAATGAGGTACTGGGCTGGGAACTGATGAGTACTGGATTAGTTTATTTATTTCTTATTTTATGTATATAAATTTGTAGAGAATCATTAGAATTTTCATTAGAATTTTTGAACTGTGAAGCAGCATGGTGTTGCTCTCGCCGGGTTTCAGAGTACGAACATTCCACTTGCTAAATGGATGGGCTAACCGTTTATGCCGCAAAATAGTATGCCGGGAAATGCGATATCCCTTATATTCACTCTCTCTCTCTTAAAGGGTAACTAAACATAGCATGAGACTCAGTCGACCAAATTCAAGTAGTGGCGTGTTCTTGTCCACCAATATTTAGTTCGAAGGACACTGTAGAGACTATTTAGATATTTCAAAACCAGAAACCGGAAATAATCATCTGTGCCCTCGGCGGCATTTAAACCTCAAATCTTCCAGCTGCAGACTAAACATGATACGCTCTTACACTACAAGAATTCGTAACGGGTGATACGATAATTCCTTTTAAATTTCTTTAAAAAATAATTTGGTTCAATAAATGTACTCAGTTAAAGTTATTCTTGAGATTAAAGATTTTGAAATCAGACGCTATTCAACGTAAAACTCAATCAGTGCAAAACTCCTTCTAAAGATTATTTTAAGCTCAACAATAATTCACTTTACAAGCGGACATGTTTCAGTAGCCAAAAGGCGAGAATAATTGCGCAATGCAGGAAAACTTTATTAAATTCTAAATCAAAGAAAGGGGATTTAAGTAAGATTTTTTTTTGCTGAAAGAAGAAAATAAAGGCAATTTAATCCCTAAAATATGAAACATTTTTTAGAATTTAATCTCTCTAGAACGGATGTAAGGTAATATATAATCCTAATAAAGGTAATTTAATTTAAAACATTTTGTATGTTCTTTTATTTATATTTGAGACTGCGTCGTGACTTCTACGTTCTGTGAATCAGCATTAAATATGAATATTGCACGAAACTAATAAAATAAAAGCACCTGAATTGCATCATAATTTTGGATTAGTAGAAAATAATGGACTCAGAATTCTAGTGCAATAATGCTCTGCATGGCGGTGTAGTTTTCAGTGTCCCTGTAAGGAAACTAAAGAACTGAAGATAAATTTCTCCCAATAAAAGGTTTGTTTTACCGAATACAGACGCTTGCGCTATTGGGACTAACAAGAGAGTTCATATTTGTTACTCCCTTTTTAATGAGATTTTAAGGAGTTTTTTTATCACTAAACCAAATTATAAGGAATTACTAAATGAAACATTACTCAAGAGAACCTAATAGGGTTTATTAGATTAACGCATAAAACACTAGGATTCTCTGCTTATGATGAAGCGGTACTTCCGTAATGATGATATCCCTTGTTTTGTAGTGGTTCTTAACTTGACTAAAATATACAAAATATATCATTGTGTTGTGTTCCAGAAATTTTAAATGAATTAACCATAGGGAAACAACCCTGGTTAGTAAGAGTGCAGGTACCAGGGGAAAAATATTAAGCAACTAATTTACATCAAAGTTATTTATTTTAGTTAGTCTTTTAATTAATTAAAATTAAAATATCTCAAGCATTACTTCCGGGAGATAAAGAATCACTTATTAAC